TATGTTAATCAGAAAAGGTAAAAAGAAAAATTCATAATCGTAGTTGGAGATTACAACATTCTTCTCTAAGAAATCCCCAAAATGAACAGACAGCAAGTCCACAGAAGGCAGAAACAACACATAGCAGGTCAGATAGTAAATGGAGTCCTGTCCAAGGTTAGTTTACAACAGGGTCCCTGTGTCCATGGGATCACTGACATGAACATCTAATTCAGATAGTCGCACTTGTCAAATGGCACAGCCCCCATACTGAATCCTGAAGAATGGCTGTGGCCAACCCCAAGCTCACCCACATAATAGTCCTGACTGCAGCCGCAGTGTTATTCCTTGCTTGAACAGAGTACTATAGCTTCAGGAAGACCCCATGTAGCTACTGATTTTGAGAATAAGTTCTTTCTATCCTAGTCAGGAAATGAAGTTAAAATCATTTTGAATTCAAATGGAACAAATAGTAATAATATTCACTCACAGTCCACCTCCTATCCTCTGTTATAATAGAATCTGGGCCAGCTGGAATCCCACAGAACTCCACATGGATTAATTCCAGTAGTGATACCATATTGATTGGAAAAGATGAACAAAAGATGGGAAGCTTCTGGCTTTACAAAATCCATGCACTCCACAGGAGTACAGATACACCCTACAAAAGATTTTCAGACAAACCAAAGCTTATGCACTAACTCACTGTCTACTTCCTGGAAATGCTGATCTGCCAAAGATCACAACTGCATGATTTGGATTTGAAAGCTACAAACCATATGAGAATAACTTTAAAAATATGATACTTGAAACTAAGTAAGAAGTTTAAATCATCTCATAGAACATATTTATATATAAACTCTCATTTAATTCTAAGTATATGGTATTCATTTTGATTATAAAACTTTATCCAAAGATAAAACAAGTAGATAGGATAAAGGCATATTACATAAAAAAATTCTGACCTTTTATCCAAATTCATCCTCATAAAATTAAAAGAATATTTTGTCAGTTAACAGATAGTTCCAATTCCTATTGCTAAAAACAAACTGAAGGAAACAAGCACATTATCGTAGCAGTAAGAAGAAGTTAACAAATGATAAATTGATTAGATTGAACAATATAAGAAAGTTTGGGACTTCTCCAGCTTTTGCATTAATAGAATCCCCTGAGGAACTTGAAGACAGAGTACATGTCATTTTATTCTACTCCAGTAATCTATAATATATACTGGACTGATAGCTTATCTTAAGATAATATAGCTGACCAAATTTTATTACAACATGTTATGTAATAAGTGTATATTTTTGTGCTTGCAGAAACTGCTAACTTTAAAAGTTCTTTGATTTGAAGTCTATGATGTCTGTTAAACAAAACAGCATCCTGCTGAATTTAAAAAATAAAGAAAAACCCTTACCTTAAATCGCCATAGAAATATTTTCCATCAGGCATAGAAAGACCACAGTGATCCCTGTACATTCAAAACTTGAAGCTTATAACAGGCAATTTCTTAAAGGATTTCCAAAGGGTCATCACAAAGTCTTCCAAGAAGATGGTCCCAGCCAAGCCGGTACAATTAAGGCTCCATCAGAGCTACTGTGTATTCCTACCATCTTTGTTTCAGATATGCTTTAGTCAAGTAAGGTCATTATCCCAGAGCCAGTTTTAAGAAGGCTGAATTTCTTTTCTAATGGTACAAAGTGAAGAGAATGATAATCTCACAAGCCCATCCAGAAAAATGTCCAGCCTAAGGAATGACTCAGTTAAGAGAGGAAAAAACATGATTTGCAAAGAGGGAGCATTTATCACAGAATCAAGGCAAAATAGATGAGTTCATCACAACATCCTTCTTTGCTTTATTTATCTTTAAGAGTCAATTATCAGTCCTACCTTAAAAAGAATTTTCTCCATCCTTGAACTTCCACCCTCATTTTTTGGGTAGTATTGGGAATCAAACCCAGGGTCTTATGCACAATAGGAAAGCACTCTATTCTAAGCTACATCCTCAGCTCACCAAATTTTGACTGTAGTATGTCAAGGTGTTATCACAGTACCTATGATTGCATTTATTACCTTTTGTAGTTTTTATCTTTTTTATTGAAATATAAGTCACATAATGCAAATCTAACCCTTTTATGGTATACAATTCAAGGGATTTTTAGTATATACACAAAGTTATACAATCATCCCTAATACCTAATTACATATTTTGTCACCCCTCCAAAAATAAATCCCATATCTATTAGCCTTTCCTCCCCATTCCTCCTTCCTTCTAGCCCTTGCTAACCATGAATCTACTTGCTTTTATGGATTTACCTATTCTGGCCATTTTACATAAATAGAATCATGCAACATGTTCTCTTTGGTGTCTACCTCCTTTTGCTTACCCTAATGTTTTCAAGGATTATCCTTATTATACTATGTTACAGAACTTCATGCCTTTACAATTGAATAATAGACAATTACATGCCACATTTTTATCCATTCATCTGTTGATGGGTATCTGAGCTTGTTTCTACTTTTTGACTACCATGAATAGTGCTGCTATGAATGTTTATGTTTGACTACTTAAGTGGATCAATGTTTTCAATTTTCTTGGGTACATACTTAGGAGCAGAATTGCTGGGTCACACGGTAACTCTTTTTTTAACATTTTGGATAACTGCCAGACTGTTTTACATTTTCTGTTCCCACTAAGAATGTAATTTCTTCCATTTATCTAGTCCACAAACTTCTTGAGGCAGGAACCAAGTTTTTTTTACTTTTTGCCTTCTGAGACCTCCTTTCATCAAAATATTTCCTTCAAATATCCTTAACTTTCATCTCTCCAGACTGTGGAGCTCTGCTGTAAGTAACACTCATGGATACCAATACTTCCTGAAATGGATGCTCTGTTTGTTGGACCAGAAGATTGTGATCTAATTGGATTTCTCATCTGCATGTTACAGATATTAATGCAAGACAATCTGATAGCAGAATCAAGTGTCTCTAAGTTGGTATTTGTTCACCCGAAGTTGAATGTTCAAACATATTTCCAGAGTTACCATGGAGCAAATATAAGCATAGAACATATTTGGCCCTAGGGCCCCCTCTGCTGGCTCTGCCATCAACAACACTACCATAAACCTGGTGGGGAAGATAGCACAGCAGCTCCTACATGGGGCAAGAGGCAACATATGGGACACATCCCATTACAAAGGCAACCAGAGAAGATGTGCAGATGAAAGGGTTCTCCTCGCAGCCTAGGAACTTGGGGTGGGGATTAGCCTCCCATGACTGGCACTCAAGTAGCCTGATGACTTCCAGCTCTGGCCAGTTAAAGAGAGCATTGCATAGAGGAAATGCCCACTTTGATCCTCGAACACAAAATGGACATGTAAAAAGAATGGAACTTACAGTATAGCTCCCTTAACTCCTCTTGATATGAAATAGGTTATATGTCTTATACAATCACACAGGAATGAACATAAATTCCATGTAAAACCTCACAAGAATCTTGGCACTTTGGCTCCTGATTGATAAATATGAATTCATTCTCACAGAAAGACATGACTCCCTCTGATGTTTTGTATCTGATGCGTGTAAACTGTACACATACTATAGGCTTCATTTCAAGAATAAAAATCAGAATGAGCACGTGTGTATAATAAACTATTGAAATTTTATATAAATTACCTGTGGTGAGCAGAATGCCTTTTGAAGGATGTCCATTCCTTAATCCTCAGAACCTATGACAATATAACACTACATACCTACAGGAAATTTGCAGATGCAATGGAGATTATAGACCTAAAAACAGAGAGATAATCCTGTCTAGGTGGGCCCAGGGTCATCACAGGAGCCCCTAAAGGTGCTATCAGTGGAAAAGTTGGATAAGTTTCAAGGGTGAGAGGGTCTTGACCTTCTGTTGCTGGAGGAGTGGAGGGGATAGCATGAACAAAGACCGGCCTCCAAATGGCAGCTGATCAGAAAATGAGAACCTCAGTCCCCCAGTCACAAGGAGCTGAACCTGGCCAACACTCTGAATGAGAATGGAAGCAGTCTGAGCCAGAGAGCCTCCAGACAAAAGCTCAGTCTGGCCAACAGCAAGATTTCAGTCCTGAGGTATACTGAACAGAGTACTCAGCTAAGTCACACCATATGTACAGAACTATAAAAAAAGATATTTGTGCTGTTTTAAGCCACTACCTTGGTGGCAATTGTTATGGCAGCAATAGAAAATAAATATATTTCCAAATATCAGTATGTTCAAGTCTAATCTTCTATGATTCTGAAACACAGTAATCTCTAGAATGGTCATCTTAACTTTCACAAACTCAGAACCAATTCCTGCCACCAAATGTTGTTATTTATAATGAGCTCAAGGGAATTTCTTGTTATAATTACTAGGTATTTTAAACATGTTACATAGGACTTATATATGGATAGCCACATATTTATCCTCTCCAATGTTCACAACTTTTTAGAATTAAATAGATGATTATTTGCCAGGTCTTTTCAAAATTGTCTTACTATTTGATGCAGTTCACTTTAGGAATACATCACTTTCATTATATAGGAAATATATTTTATTAGATTCATATTTTATGTAACCTAATATCAGCCACATTAACAAAGGTCAGTGGTTCAGTTAAATGAATCAACATTTAGATAAATAAGAACATAATGTCAGTTTGCAAGCCTCAAAAACACAAATTCTAAGACAACAATTACTCCACGCTTTTAGTATGTCATTGCATAAAATGAGTAATATTGAGTTCCCTTAAAAGGACTTTATTGGTATGATGACCATATTTTGCTATTTACACTTCTTAAATTAGCAGCTCAAAGCTTTATGTGGCTTTATTGCAAACACATTATAGTTCTTCCTATTCTTGATCTGTTGAACACATGCTTCAGGACATTCCAAGTTTTACCTGCTTCCAGCCAATATTTCTAAATTGCAATAAAGCCCAAAATATTGTTTTTTTCCAGAGATTGTAGAATATAACAAAATCTAGATTTGAGGCATGGACACTTACTTTTTCTGAGTTCTTTCAGCCAGTCTTGCTATCTCTACAGCTGCCTTCCTTGCTTCAAAATCTTCTCTTTTCAGAATCTCTCCAGTCCCCCGGTAGCCTAGCTCCACCAACTGGTGGGCCAAGCTTTCATCCTAAGAAGAAAATCAATCAGTAGATGCTTGGGCGAATGAGACATTTCCTCCAATGCACACCAAGCAATTCATTTCAGTGACAAATTAAATGTATTATTTTAAAATGATACAAGAACTATTACACATGAAAAACTAGCTTTCTAACAATACATTTATCCACATCTGACTTGTTCTTCCATATACCATAGATATAAGATGAAAAAAATAACATCAGAAATAAAATAACTAAAATTTCTAAGGGGTTGGAGGACAAAAGTCTGTGTGTTTTGAATCAGTTTATGAGAACAGCAGTAGACAATTAATAGGATATCTTTAAAACAATAAAATTAGAAACAATAGTGTTCATAGAAGAAAGACTTTGAAAATCAATTGCACAAAAAGAGAATTGGACCAATTTTAGAAAGCTCAATGTTTTAGACTTACTTCCTTGAAGTCAATTAACTGATGACACAGAATATTATGACTTCAAATACAACTAATGAGGAGCAGATGGATTTCCTACTTAACTAGGAAGATATTGTTTCCATATAATGTCGGTACCAATAAAAACAGAAAAGTAAACACCCAAGAAGATAACCACAAAAAGCTTCAAGTTGAAAAGAAAAATTGTCCACAGAATTTTAGGCCTTTCATGTTTTAGTTACTTTAAGAACTGTCTCTTACATTTTTGTCACTTACACAGTAACCTCAAAAAAAAATATTTTCCCATAATTTAAAGAGGTACAATTTTACATGAAATTACTAGTATAAATCATTATATTAAAATTTTTATACATTAATAAAAATCATCTTCAATAAATCACAAAACATGTGAACTACAATAAAAATATATTTTGTTACTATAGACCTTTAATCAGTACATCACTATAGAATGCATGAACTAACAATTAAATGAGATACTAAAAACCTACTGCTTTCATTTGCTAAGCATTAACAGCAAATACTGAACTCCTTGCAGCAATGTTTATACATTTGCGATCTATCACACTGCAAAGCACCAGTCCTTGAGAGGCCTAAGGCCATTGGCCTTATTTCTGAGATGTTCTGCTCAATGGACTTCACTGCTGTACTTTAGTGAGAACCACAAAACTGAGCAAATGCCTCCACCTAGTGGAATTATTCTTTAACAAAAAATGCAATGCAGACGGTTTGTTTTACAACAGTGAGATAAATCTGTGCATGAATTTTGTAAGATACATTCATTACTAAAGTGATAGCAAGGACTCAGCTCAGTGATGTTGTGGGACTCTTCTATAAGAGTATAATCCCTTGGGGTTAATAAAAAGTTGCTGTACTTATTTTGTATACTGAGCAAATTCTGCATTCCAGTGTGCCTTATCTGCAATCAACAACTTTAATCTGTATTGCAACAAATGGACAAAATCTATAGAGAAAACAAGCAGAAAGCCAACGTTGGTTGTTTCATCTGTGATTTTCATGTTTTAACTAACTCGTAAAATTATTAGTCATCTCTCCACTAAGACAACATATTGCTTACATCTCTGAAAAATGTTAGTTAAGAGCAAAACCGGAGAGAAAAAATGGCAGAGCGGAGAGTCAGCATCCAGGACAAAGCACCCAGAGTCTGGAACTCAACAGCCCAGAGGGGAAACAAAGTGACTGGAGGGCACATGGGAACCATGTGGAAACTGACAGAGAAGGAAAAAAAAAAAGAAAGGATCCATTGCTACAGAAGAAATAGCTCACTGCTGCAAACCAGAGACCTCACAGTGTAGCAGAACAACTGTGTAACCGCGCCAGTGGGAAGGCAGAGAAAATAACTTTGCTGCTCATGCGAAATACAATTGGACACAGCAATGAGAACACTTTCCTGAGCAGCCTCCTAGAATCAACAGTTGGTGAATGAGGTGGAACAGCGACCCGGCACATAATCAGTGGATGTACACCAGGTGGGCAGGGCAGCCATTTTATTTCAAAAAGCTAGGGCTTGAACTCTGACAACAGAACATCCCCATGGTCGCTTCACTGCCAGTGCCCCAGAGTGGAAGGAGGGAAGGGCCATCCAGTCACAGTAGACTGCCAGCACTTGGACAGCAGACTGGGGGACATTCTGAGAAGCAGGGAGTGGGAATACCCAGACTCTGCTCTAGCAGTCCCCAGAAACCAGTCTTAGCCCAGCTACAACGAATTGGAGTCATCCTCCTGCTCTGAGAGCAGAGGTGCGGGTGGCAAGGGGCCTTGGCCAGGGGCAGGACAGGAACACCTCCTCCCCCAGTCCTGCAACTGGTGACACAAACAGGCAAGCCAGCAAGCCAGTGTCAGCACAAGGGTGACCACCCACACCCGATGGCCAGCATGTGAGAGGAGTCAGTAGTGTGGAACAGAAGAGGCTGTGCAAGGTCCAGGAGGGGTCAACCATGCACCCATCTGGGAGCAGTCTTCGCCTGGCTCCATCTGAAGGCACCACAGCAGCTGGGGGAGCAATGTGGAGAGGTGGGCGAGCCACCTGAGGGGCATCTGGAAAGTTACTGGCTGAAGAATGCCCACAGCTCCTACATCTGGAGGCCAAAACCAGTACCCAGAACTAAACCTACTGCAGAACTGGAGGGGTGACACAGTATATTTTGAGGATCTTCTTGGACACTGACACAGAACTGGGGATACCAGAGGAATTTTATTATTTTTCTTCTTCATTTGCTTGATTCATTTTCCTTTTTCTGTCTGATTGTTTTGTTTTGTTTTTCCCCTTGGATGTTTAGGTTTTTTACCTTTATTTTTGTTCTGTTCTTTTTGTCTTCTTCCTCTCTCTCCTCAACTATTTCTCTTGACATTGTGGTATTTTTCATGTGAGTGAACAGTGTCTCCTGTCTTTCTGGTTCACTGCAATATTCTTTTGCTTTCTCCTTCATTCTTTCTCTCCTGCCTTCTTCTCCAGTTTCCCAAAGCTTGGGTGTTCATCCTTTGCCCTCTAGTCTTCTTTCTACTATATTTCTCTTCATTTATGTCCTCTGTTTTATCCCCTATCCCTCTTAAATTTACACACACAAGTGGTAAAATCAATCTACTACAGGGAAATTCATTTCATACAAGTTTCTGGTTTATATTGGATTTTGGTATATAAAGGCAGAGATTGCTCATATGGTTAACGGTATCAAACTAATAGTTCCCAGTTTCTTAGTTTCTAGGCTGTGCTTGATGCTATTGTTATTGCTAATTATATTACTTTAGCCAGAATGTCATACCTGTTGTAAACAGTTGTTCTCCCCATATGGCAGCACTGTGACTGTCACAACTATCACCATAGTCCAGTACCAAAAGGATTGGGTGCTGAGCTAAATAGAGAGCAACCTCTGACCCTTAATAAACTGGGAAGATAGGATCTTGGGATAGACACAAAGACCAAGAACCACCTACACATAGAAGACATCTCTGAGGAATAGATGTTTCCTAGAGAACCCTCAAAACTAGTGATAAAGCTATCTACCATAAGAAATCTATAAGTAACAACTCAAAAAGCAAAATAAAATAAACAGAAAATTCTAAGACACAGAAGCAAAAGGCAACCTCAGACCTCCAGCCCACCCAGGACAAGTCCAGGGGACAATTAGTTAGAGGAAATCAGAAGCCACCTACCTGAAATTACTCAAATGGTAGCAGAAGAAATAAAAAAAAGAATAGATGGATAAAGCTATAGAGAAAGTAATCTTTCAGGTAAAAAAAATAACAATCAAAATGAAAGACATGTTCGATGAATCTAGAATAGACAATGATAAAAAAATAGAACAGCTTAGGGAAATGATGGAATCCATGAATGCCCAACATAGGAAAGAACTGGAATCCATGAAGCAGATTCAAACAGATATCCAGGAGATTAAAATTCCATTGAAAGTATATGCAATTCCTTGAACCAAGTTAAGGACAGAATATCAGATCTATAATATAGGATTGCAGTTACCTACTATGAAAAGAAAGATTTCTAATAGGAAGGGATCATAAAAAAAAAATCAATCCAACAATTTCAAGATGATGTATAAAAGAACAATATAAAATCTATCAGAGTCAATGAGAAAGCCAAAGATAGCACAAACATCATAAAAAATCTGTTCACAGAAGTAATGGCAAAAAACTTCCCAAACATGAAAAAAGAATTAGACATACACATAAGTGAGGCATATAGAAGTCCAAATAGCCATCACCAAAATAAATCTACATCAAAGCATATAATAATCAAGATTCCAGAAATTCAGCACAAGAACAAAATATAAAAAGCTGTTAGAGAAAAGAAGCAAATCACATATTTTTAAAAGCCCATCAGAATCACATCAGACTTCTCAACACAAACCCTCAAGGCAAGGAGAGCTTGAAGTGAAGTATTTCAACCCCTAAAAGAAAACCCCCAACCTAGATTGATATACCCTACAAAACTATCTTTCAAAATTAAAGGAGAAATAAGATATTTCCATAACAAAAAATAACTGAAGAAATTCACAATCAACCCAACTCAACAAGTTTTCTGAAGGATATTTTAGAAAGAAATAATAAAAACAACAATTCTAAGAACACCAATAAAAAGAAACCACCAGGTAGAGCAAGCAACTAAACAGAGGGGAAAGATGGAACTAATAGCAGGAAAATAATATGACAAGGATAAGTCAATACATATCAAGTGCAACCATCAATGTAAATGTCTCAGTTCAAATCAAAAGAAACAGACTGGCACAATGGATCGAGAAACAAGATCCAACAATATACTGCATGTAAGAAACACATTTAATTTTTTAAAAATTCATAGACTAAAAGTCAAAAGATGGAAAACAATATTCCATGTAATAGGAAACCAGAAAAAAGCAGGACATTGTGAACTTCAAGACAAGGAGATAAAAATTATAAAGGCACCAAATATCAGTGCACCCAACTATAAAAAGCAAATATTAATGGACATGAAAAATCAAATAAGCACAAAGAGAGTTGTAATGGGGGACTGTAATACTGTTGTAACAAATAGACAGATCAACTAGACAAAATAAATCAACAAATAG